AAGAAGCACTGAATTGCACATGATCATAGTACTTCACTTTATAATTCATTTATTTATTATCATTTATTTAATGTCTAGTAAGTGCTGGCAGATTGTTAGATCATGGGGATTCAGAGATATCAGGATTCTCTGGAAGATGAGATTGAGAAAAAATGCAGCTTAATTAGAAAGAATAATGGTGCTGATCATTCAAATATTTAACAGGTATTCATTGAGAGTCTACTATGGGTCAGGTCTTGAGAGCTTGTTTGGATGAGTCAGCAGGAGAAATCCACTGATACACCCTTGACTGGAGTGCCCTCTGGGATCATCCCATTTGACAGAGGGGATGGAAGAAGTAATGAGGAGGGAAGAGGATATCCTCATGGTCAATCAGATCAGCCAAATCAACCCTGGCCTCCCCTCTGGCCACATGCCAGGCGTAGTGCATGTCCTGGGAAGGCCAACATGGGTAAGACACAGACCTGCCCTGAAGCAATTCACAGTCCAGTGGGGAGGATAGACATAAACAAGGAGCTAGATCTAGTGAGGTATCTACTATTGGAGAGGTGTGGACTTTGATGGCATAATGGAAGGGATGGCTAACTCTGTCTAGTCCTTCACAGAGAATTCATAGGGCAGGCGATTCTTGAGTTAGATCTAGCTAGGTGGGGGAGGGGTTCATTCTAGTTTGAAGAAACAGCATACGTACATGTCCTGAGAAGAGAACCAGTACGATAGTCACAGAATGGTAAGAAGTCCAGTGTGACTAGACTGTAGGTAGCTGGTTGGAAGTTGGAGCTGCAGAGACAAATGGACACCTGTCAAGAAGGTTATGCAAAAAAAAGTGCATTTTATCTAAGACCCTAGCTTCTCAAACTAAAGGGCCTGAGGATTTCTGAAAGCCACAGGATAAACATGTGCCTTCTTGCAGGATCAATTTTGCTTGACAATTTGAGGGAAATGTTATTTTACTTTCAAAACAAAAACTGATCCTATATAATAAAGAAGTAATATGCAAATTGACCACCACTGCCTCGCACAAGATGGCTGCCCCCAGGCGGTCACAATATGGCTGTGCCCATGTCATCACAAGATGGCTGCCCCCATGTCATCACAGGATGGTTGCCACAAGATGGCCAGCAGGGGAGGGCAGTTGTGGGCGATCAGGCCAGCAGAGGAGGACAGTTAGGGGCAACCAGGCTGGCAGGGGAGGGCAGTTGGGGGCAATCAGGCCAGCAGGGGAGCAGTTAGGTGTTGATCAGGCAGGTAGGCAGAGTAGTTAGGGGCAATCAGGCAGGCAGGCAGGCAGGTGAGTGGTTGGGAGCCAACAGTACCGGATTGTGAGAGGGATGTCCGACTGCTGGTTTAAACTGGCAGTCGGACATCCCCCAAGGGGTCCCAGATTGGAGAGGGTGCAGGCTGGGCTGAGGGACACACACCCCTCCAGTGCATGAGTTTCATGCACTGGGCCTCTAGTCTATTATAAAATAGAATGAAAAATTGCAAAAATGGAGTTAAAAATTGTGACTTAAAAAGAAATTTCATGTTGTAAGTGAGGACTTCTGGATCCTGCTCTTCTGACCCTCCCAACCTCCTGGGAGCTTGTTCACTCTCCTTACATTAGAAGTACTTAAGTGGAGGAGTTTGAGAGGTTCTATTAAATGAATAATACGCTCAGCTTTGCACAAACCATTGTGGAAGCAGTAGAGGGTGATCTGAGAAAGTGGGAGACTGGATACAAGATCACGAATCTGGGCCTCTGAAATTATCTTGGCAAGAGATGGTGATGGACTTAGGCAGTGAGATTGAGGGTAAAGGAAGGGATGAATTTGGGAGGAATTGGGAGAAAATAAAGAGATGATTGAGGGTGTGGCACCTCGTTTTGGGGTGGCTGGTGGATGATTGTGCCAATACTTGGGAAATGGAAAAGGTTGACATGGCAGCAGAAGGGAGATGACAAATTCAGTTGGGGACCTGCAGACTTGAGGCTCTAAGGAGCAGGTGAGCCTGTCTGACAGGCAGCGTGTTCAGTGATACAGAGCACAGGAAAGGACTCCAGCCTGGAGGTATAGGCATGAGGAGCACCAGTGGCTGGTGGAATCAAACCCACAGGAGTGGCTAGGATTGCTCAGGAGTGTGTGAGGCCGTGAGGAAGAGAAGATGCTGGACCACCAAGGATAGATTCTGGACCTGTCTGGCTGAGAAAATAGGTGCTATGTCTTTTGGGATAATTAGAAAGCTCTGGCAGGGGCCCTCTCTAGAGAAAAGATTATCATCTCAGAGATATAAGCAGTGAAGAGAGGCAGATATGGAGGCTGAGAATTTTGCTTCAAGTCTATCTGTGAAAAATGCCTGAAAGAAGTAATAGAGGTAGAGCCAGCACATGTTTGAGGGGTGCTTCTTTCAGAAAATGTTCTATCATTCGCCTCAGCTGGAGGGCTGCATGAAATTCTCCTTTTTGAGATTCCTTCCTTATAGCTAAAATATGCTATTTCAGGCACCTTCCAGTAAAATAGCAACACATCTGACTGAGGCAACACACTTGGCCATTCATACCACAAGGTAAGTTAACAGACCACTAGTCTGTCTGCACTGGGGGTCCTGGATCCTGATTACCAGAAAGAGAGGGAGCCTGGCATTGTAAGAGGATAGACCAGAAAGCAAGACTTCTGCTATTTTGTAATTGTGTCAAGAATTGACCATGGGAGGAGAACCAAGATGGCGGCATAGGTTAAGGCTGGAGTTTGCTGCCTCGAAACAACCACTTCAAAAATACAACTAAAAGACAGAACGGACATCACCCAGAACCACAGGAACACTGGCTGAGTGGAATTCCTACAACTAGGAGGAAAGAGAAACGGAATTCCTACAACTAGGAGGAAAGAGAAACGCATATGGAGACTCAGAGGAGGTGCAGTGCTGAAGTCAAATACTAAGGTGCGGAGTGCATGCAGAGCGGGCTGGCGGCTGAGGGCGCGGTTGACGTTTTCAATCGGGAGGGAGTCGCAGACTCTGAGCTCCAGATCCGGGCGAGGCTTTAGGGGCACAGACTCAAACGGGAGAAGCGGGACACT